TCCCTCTGTTCATTAATTTTATTCCTAATTTCATTGAACTGTCTTTCTGAGTTTTCTTATAACTTGTTGAGTTTTTTTATGAAAGCTAATTTGAATTCTCTGTCATTTAGTTTGTAAATTTCTGTGTCTTCGAGATTGATTTCTGGGTGACCGTCATTTCCCTTCTGGTCTGGAGTATTAATATACCTCTTCAGGGGATGGCCCGGTGGTGCAGCAGTTAAGTTCACACATTCCACAACAGCAGCCTGGGGTTCACTGGTTCGGACCCTGGGTGTGGACATGGCACCACTTGGCAAGCCATGCTGTGGCAGGCGTCCCACATATAAAGTAGAGGAAGATGGGCATGGATGTTAGCTCAGGGCCAGTCTTCCTCAGCAAAAAGAGGAAGATTGGCCGCAGATGTTAGCGCAGGGCTAATCTTCCTCAAAAAAAACCTCTTCATACTGTGTGATGGCATGGATTTGCGCCTTTGCATAGTGAGTACCTAGTCACCAATTCCACCTGCCACCGCTGCAGGGGGGGGGGGGCAGGAGCTGTGTATTCTGAGCCCACTGTGACCCTGGCAGCTGTGCCTGTCCTTTGGAAGCTATGCTGACGGGGCTTGTGTGCGTTTGCATGCTCACCACTGCTTCTTTACACATGTATGCACTGGCTCTCTGGCGAGGTTCCCTTGCTTCGGCCAACTGGCTGAGCTGGTGCACCAGGTGAGGGTGGCACTTTCTTTCGTCTGTGTTCTCCCGGGGGCACTCCTGCTCTGCCCTCCTGGGCTGTTCTGCTTGGTGAGTAAGCCCCCATGATTACTTGGCCTCTTCCGTGTGGAGCTTTCCCACAGACTTGGAGGCAACTCAGAGAGCAAAGGTGTTCCTATGGAAGACTGCCCTCTCCCTCCCTCCTCTCAGAGCCGGGTGTTGTCCTGGGCCCTATGTTGCTGCCATTAGGGGAAGGTGAGGAGATCTCCTTGCCTCTTTCCACTGCCTCCGGGGAGTTTCAGCACCTCCACCTTCAGACTTATGGCTGCTTGGGTCTCTCAGATGTCTATTGTGTTTGTGAATATCCTCTGTTGGTTTATGAGTGTCCTTTTCATTGTATCTTAGGGGAGAGAGTCTAAGAGAAGATTTCACTCTGCAATGATGCTGGCATCACTCTAGTTTATTTCTTTTTGAATTTGCATATTATAAAACTCATTCTTTGTGATGTACCGTTCTATGGATTTTGACAAATGCATAGATTTTTCTACCATCACAATGTCATGCAAAACAATTCCATCACACTGAAAGTCCCCTCATGTTGCCCCTTTGTAGTCAACCACTCACCCCTGAAAACCACTAATTTCTTTTTTGTCCCAATAGGTTCGTCTTTTCTATAATATCAGATAAATGGAATTATACAATATGTCATCTTTGAGGTCTGACTTCTTTCACTTAGCAAAACAAATTTAAGATTCCATGTTTTTGCATGAATCATTCCTTTAATTGCTAAATTTTATGTACCAGTTTGTTTTAGCCATTCACAGGTTGAAGGAAATCTTAATTGTTTCCCGTTTTTGACAATTGTGAGTAAAGCTGCTATAAACATTTGATTACAAACTTTTGTGTGAACATAAATTTTCGTTTCTCTTAGGTATCTATCTAGGAGTGGGATGGTTGGGTCATTAGGTATGTGTATGTTTCATTTTATAAGGAACTGCCAAACTGTTTTCCAGAGCTGCTGTACTATTTTGGATCTCCTCAAGTAATATCTAAGAATTCCAGTTGCTTTTTGCCCTCACCATTACTTACTGTTGCTTTTTGTTAATTGAAATTTTTATTAAGATAATTGTGGATTCCTATGCAGTTTTAAGAAATAATAGAGACAGATCCTGTATCCCCTGTACTTAATTTCTCCCAGTGGTACATTAGGCAAAATTATAGTACAATATCACAGACAAGATATCAACAATAATAACAGTCTACTAGACTTGTTCAGATTTACCCAGTTTTACTTGCTCTGTGTGTGTGTGTATTGTGTGTGTGTGTATTTAGTTCTATATAGTTTATCATGTGTGTAGGTTTGTATATCCAACACCACAGTCAAGATCCAGCAGAGTTCCATGATCGCAAGGATTGCTCAGTTGGTCCTTATAAGCATACTCTTCTCTTTCTTGTCTGCCCCTACCTCATCCCTACCTTTGGCAACCATTGGTATGTTCTCCATTTCTGTAGTTTTGTCATTTCAAGAAAGTTGTATATACAACTCAACAATAAAAAGATAATTTTTTAATGGGCAAAGCATTTTAGTAGTCATTTCTCCAAAGAAGATATGCAAACGATCAGTTAGCACAAAAAATATGCTCAACATCATTAGTCGTTAGGGAGATGCAAATCAAAACCACAATGAGATACCACTCAGACCCATGAGGATTTTTTTTTTAATTAAAAAAAAAAAGGAAAGTAAGTGTTGGCAAAGATACAGACAACTTGGAACCCTTGTACATTGCTGGTGGAAATGTAAAGTGATGTAGTGGCTGTGGAAAACAGTTTGGTAGTTCCTCAAAAAGTTAAACATAGTTACTATATTACCCAGCAATTCCACTCCTAAGCGTATACCCAAGATAATGACAAACATATGTCTACACAAAAACTTGTATGTGAATGTTCACAGCAGCATTATTCATGATAGCCAAAAAGTGGAAACAACACAAATGTCCATCAGCTGAAAAATGCATAAACGAAATGTGTATCTATACAATGAAATATTATACAGCCATACAAAGGAATGAATTACTGATACATGCTGCACCATAAATGAACCTTGAAAATATGCTAAATGAAAGAAGCCAAGCACAAAAAGGCTACATATTGTATGATTTCATTTAAATAAAATATCTAGAATATGCTAACCCATAGAGATAGAAAGTAGATTAGTGATTGCCAGGGGCTGGGGGTAAGGGGCTGCTATAAGGTATGGGGTTTCTTTTTGGAATGATGAAAATGTTCTGTAATGTTGAAAACTTAAGTACACACAATATGTGCACATGGATGTTTATAGCAGCTTTATTCATAATTGCCAAAACTTGTAAGCAACCAAGATATCCTTCAATAGATGAATGGTAAATAATCCAGACAACAGAATGTTATTCATCACTAAAAGTAATGAGCTATCAAGGCATGAAGTGACATGGAGAAACCTTAAATGCATGTTACTAAGTGAAAGGCCAATCAGAAAAGGCTACATACTGTATGATTCCAACTACATGACATTTTGGAAAAGGCAAGACTATGGAGACAGTAAAAAGATCAGTGGTTGCCAGGGATTTGGGGAAGAGAGGGATGAATAGGTGGAACACAGAGGATTTTTAGGGCAGTGAAATAATGGTAGATATGTGTCATTATGCATTTGTCAAAGCGCACAGAATGTGCAATACCAAGAGTGAACTCTCAACAGTGGACTTTGGGTGATAATGACGTGTCAGTGTAGGTTTATTGATTGTTACAAATGTACCACTCTGGTGCGGGATGTTGGTAGTGAGAGAGGCTGTGCATGTGTATGGGCAGAGGGTATATGGGGACTCTGTTCTTTCTGCAAAATTTTGCTGTGAACCCAAAACTCCTTCAAAAGATAGTCTATTTTTTTTTTTTTTAAAGTCCTGGAACTAGATAGCGGTAATGGTTGCACAACGTTGTGAATACTGTGCTAACAAACCACTGAGTTTGAGATTGGATTTTTTGACTTGGCATAATTCCTAGAGATTCACCCAGGTTGTTGCTTGTATCAGTACTTCATTCCTGTTTGTTGCTAAGTAGCAGTCCATGGTGTGGGAGTACTACAGTTTATTTGACCATTCATTTGCTGAAGGATGTCTGGGTATTTCCAGTATTGGCAATTTGAATAAATCTGCTGTGAAAAATGGGGTACAGATTTTTAAATAAACGTAAGTTTACATTTCTCTGGGTTAAATGCTTAAGAGTACGATTGTTGAGTTGTATGGTAATTGCATGTTAGCTTTATAACAAACTATCAAATTATTTTCCAGAGTGGCTGCATCATTTTACATTCCCACCCAGCAATGTGTGAATAATGTAGTTTCTCACCAGTGTTTGGTTTTGCTGTTATTTTTTGTTTTAGCCATTCTAATAGGTATTTAGTGATATATTATTGTAGTTTAACTTGCATTATCTCATGGCTGATGATATAGTTTTACCATGTGCATATTCTTTCCTAAATACAGAATTTAATCAAGCCTTTAGATTTTTCTACCATTTTATAGGAAATACAAAAGAGAAATTAAATGATATCCTGGGGAAGCACTTATTAAATTCAGAATGTGAGACATTTTATAGGACGTATGTCCTAATTTCTACAACAAATCAGTGGCTTGGGGGAAAAAAAAGTGTGCGTGTGAGGTGACCATTACACAATGAAGGAGACTTAAGAGAAATAATAACTAGATGCAATATGTGGACCTTGCTTGGATTTCAATTTGAACAAACCAAAAATGAAAAAAAGCGTCTTTGAGACAATTGGAGAAACCTGAATATGGACAAGGTATTGGATCTTACTAAGGAGTTGTTGATTTATTTAGACATGTTAACGGCGTGGTTGTTATCTACCTGATAAGAATTTCTACCTTATCAATATTGAATTATTTAGGTGGTTAATGAGATATCCAGGATTTGTTTTTAAAATACTCTAGCAAAAAAAAAAAAAAGAACAAAAAAGAGTGGAGTAGAAGACTAGAGGCAATGATTGGCAAAATATTGATAATTGTTGGAGGTGAGTGATGGCTGAGTGTGTATTTTAATATTATACTTCCTACTGTTGGTGATGTTTGAAATTTTCCATGATAAAATGTGCAGAAAAGTGTTTATTGAAATAGCATTTTGTATTTTAAAATAAAACAAATAGTTGATTGTTACTCTGAAGGCACTTGCAGTATTCTGTTATAAAACAGATTAAAACTTGATGGAAAAAAAATCTAATTCTGGAGGACAAATAACTGAAATTATTATTTTTTTATTCAGGCAGAAGAAAACAAAAGGTTGAGGGAACTCCAGCTTGAACAAGAAGAAAAATTGGCTGTAGAATTGGCAAAACTAAAAAATGAAAGTCTAAAAGATGAGAAGATGAGGCAACAAGTAAGAGAAAACAGGTATCTTGGTTTCTATAAATTTGATTTATTTAGTCTTTATCTTCAAATTTTTACCTGAGAGTGGAATTGCCTTATATCATTGCACTCAGTTAATATTTTGCCTGGAAATACTTAGTGCTTTAAATCCTACATGTATTTATTTGAGAAAATGAGTTGTATTCGTAGAAGTAAAGTATTAATATTTAAGGTGAAAATAATTGTCAATTACCTCTACTCTTTCCTCCAAACATAATTTTTTAAATGACCTCTTATAAAAAATAGACTCATGAGTCCTAGTCCTAAGAGAAACATTAGGTGACATCTAATTTAATTTTATAACCCTATGTAAATTTCCTGCAGTATTTCTGGAGAGTGGCTGGTCAAGCTGTGGTTCAACACCTTTAGTGAATGCAATAGGAACTTTCTTTCTCATTCAGCCCTAACTTCGAATAATCTTTTTTCTCCTACTGTTTCAAAATTAATATCTCTGTGCCTTCCATAGATTTATCTCAGTTCTGCTATCTGATAATAAATACATAAATAAATTTAGTGCTTCTTTAGGACATCTTTTCATATTTATGAATCCACTATATGTTTTTTTCTGTAAGTTAAATATCCCACATTTGTTCGTTTGTTCTTTATATAACCTGGTTTCAAGCTTCTTTTCCATCCTGGTTCCCTTTGTAGAGGTAATTTAGATTATTGGTGTTTCTTAACAAAATATTACCCCCACAAGTATGGATAATACTTCAGGGTACTACTTAGTACCCCTAATAGTGGGACTGTTAACCCCACTGTTCTAGAATATGTTTCTTATGTTCTTGGAAGATCAAGTTACTTTTTAGGGGCTGCTGTGTCACACCATTGATTAAAACTCAGGGCTAACTAAATGCCCACCCCATACTTATGTAGTTGAATATATTGGAAATTTACTTGGATAGTTATTACATTTTATCTTAACTGAGCAAGGCTTATGTAGAATATTATATAACTCATGGATGAGCTTTAGGGGTTTTGAGCCTCATTAAAGTATATTTATGGGTTTGGCAAATGTACCCATATGTATTTTTCGGGGCCCAGAACTTTTATCAAATTCTGTAAGGGATTTCTAATTTTTAGAAAAAGATTTAGAATTACTGCTAATATGTTCATATTGTTCTAGTCTTAAACTCTCTTTTGGACCTTAATTCTCCAATCATTGTTAGCTATCAGTCATAGTTTTATATTATTATCATGTTTTTGTCTAATTCACTGATACAAGAATTAAATAGAAAAGCTTTCCACTTCTAGCAATTGCAGACTAGGTGATTCAGATAAACGCTCCCTTTGAGAACAGAATATCTGAGAAAGTATAAAAATAAGATCAGGGAGAGGAAGGAAACCACAATGATGAGCCTGGCATTTGTAGCTGCATTTCTTCTGGAAGTTTCTGCTGATTCCAAGAGTACGGCTTAGAATTGAGAACTGAAGCAGAGCTTGGCCGATAAGCGTATGGCAAGGTGTTCAACATCATTCTATGAACTGTACACTTAAGATTAGTGCACTTCAGTGTATGTTTTACTTCAATAATACAGAGTTTAATTAGATTTTATTGGATAGAAACAGATGAAGAGGTAATGTGTGAGCAGGTTAATGGAAAACATCTAGAATAAAGCACAGAGAAACACAAGGAGGGATAAATATAGAAGAGAACTTAAAAGAGGCATGGGCTATGGTGTAAAGTTCTAACAGATGCATAATTTTAGTCTTGGTAGTGGAAATGAAAGAGGATGATGCAGAAGCAGTGGTTGAAGAGATATTGGCCAAGAATTTCCAAAAATGATAAAAGACATAAAGCCACAGGTTAAAACACAATGAAGAATGAAAAGCACCCCTATGCTCAACCTAGTCAAACTTTTGAAATCCAATAATAGAGAAAATCATAAAAACCACAAAAGTATCCACACACAAAGGACTATTACCTTCAAAGGAACAACAATAAGAAATACGACTGAATTTTGAGCAGCGACAGTGGAGACTAGAAGACAGTGGATTTAAAGGGCTGAAAGAAAGTAATAGCCCATCTAGAATTCTATACCTTGGGAAAATTTTCTTCAAACTTAAGGCAGAAGTCATTCAGTTGAGTACTCTTTCAAACAGAGTATGTTCCCTCTCAGCAGTGTCAAAACTGCTAAGAGTTTTTTTTATTTTGTGCATCAGCTGTAGTAAAATTTTAACTAACATGCAGAAATGGACCATTTTTTGGTCAGTGTATTTGTCTGCAAATTGGCAGGTCTAAATTCAAGGAAATGTTTGCTGTGGTACTTAATATGTATCCTAAGTAATTCAAAATCACCTATGTTAAGATTAGGCTCTTTAAATGTAAAAGAAATTCATTTTAAAACCCAGGGTAAATTTTTAACAATCATTTAAATTTATTTTGAAAATAATTGTTTGAGTTCAGAAGTCATGAGACTCTTTTGTTATTTGATTTTGAACATGTGATTTTTTTTTAACCCAAGAACATTTTTAAAAGGCAATTTAATTTTATCACTGCTTTTAACTAGAGATGGGAAACTCACTGCCTATTTTTAGAAATCCTATCTTAATTATTAGCACTAATCAATTAATAATTATAATTAATTGTATAACTAATTATTTATAATTAATTGTAAATTATACAATTTGTAATTATTACATAATTAGCAACTATATATTTATTACATAGTTAATACATATCTTTATGAAAGCAAGAACAAGCACTTATTATATAATTTGTATTTAACTTCAGCACAAACTAGCTCAAAGAAGAGACAGAGAGATTTCTTCCCTTATTAGATATATAACCAGTTCCTTGCTGATGCCAGTACACTTATATTCCAGACTGATAATCAAGATGTTAATTATTAAAATAAAGTAGATGAAATGAATTAAAAAATAACGTTTTCAGACAAACAAAAACAGATTGATCACCAATAACCCTGCATTAAAGGAAATACTGGCAGTTATTCTTCAGGTAGAAGAATGAAAATGATCCTAACATGAATTTCAGAACTTCAGGAAGGTAAATGTGTAGTAAATCTAGGTGAAATTTGAATGTGTGAATCATTTATTGTAATGTCTTTTGGGATTTAAAATATATAAAGGGTTAAAAATAGAAACTATAACAAAAGTGAGATAGGAATTAATTGGAGTAAAGTGGTCAAGAATCTTTAGTAAAAAAATGGTCAAATTTTATTAGACTCGAAACAAACATGTTGTAATCTCTGTAACAAAAAGTTTGGAAAAGAATATACAATTAACAAATAGAGGAGAAAATGTGATAATAAGAAATGATGAATCTAAAAAGGGGCTGTGCAGAAAAGAGTTAACATAGCAGGCCTGAGACTGATATCCTTAGAAAGTCCTGCTGGCAAGTTTGGTCCTTGGCTGGCATCTGGAAACTTGGATTTTGAGAAAGTTCCCATTTCTCTATGATAACAGTGCCTAAACTATTTGGAAAAACAGTTTCTTTTCTGCTGAACTCCTGTTTTCCTTCTGGGAGTCTGGACTTCTGGTATGCACTAGGCAGAGGGTACCCTCATGACCAGCCCCTAGTAAAAACCCTGGGCCCTAAGTCTCTAGTGAGCTTTCCTGGTAGACATTTCACACATGTGGTCACAAGTCATTGCTGGGGAGTTAAGTGTGTCCTGTGTGCCCCCACTGGGAGAGGACTTTTGGAAACTTGCAACTGATTTCTTCAGGACTTCGCCCCAGGTGCCTTTTTTCTGTTGCCCATTTTGGTCTGCATTTTACTGTAGTAAATCATAGCCGTGAGTGTGACTATATGCTGAGTCTTGTGAGTCCTCCCGCTGAATGACTGAATCTGAGGAGGTGGTTTTGGAGACTCCCAACATAGAGGCAAAAGAAGAGAAAAGAGAACATAGGGTAGGTAGGACAAATAGAAAGAAAATACTAAGATTATAAATTTAAACTCAACTATATTAATAGTTACAGTAAACATATTTGAACCATTTACTGAACAAATGGTTATGCCAGAACAAATCAGCTTTTCAAAGCATTTAATTCATACATAGTATGTTCTCTGACCGCAGTGGAATTAAAGTAGATATGGTAACGAGATAACTAGGCAATCTTTGTATGTTTAGATATTTTGAAATGTACTTCTGAATAACCCCTAGGCCAAAGAAGTAACCAAAATTGAAGTTAGGAAGTATTTTTAACTGAGTGACAATGAAAATACCACATAGTAAAAGTTGTAAGAGTGGAGTGACATAAGCAAAATGGTGGGGTAGGCAGCCCTACGCTCCTGCCCCTGTCAATCAAAACACAAGTAGAAACGGTTAGAACCAAGTCTGTAAGAACTCTGAACAACAGTCAAAGGTTTACAGCAACCCACTGACTGCTGAAACAAGAAAAAGACAACTTAGAAACAGTAGCAAAATCTGTGGTGTTTTTACTTGTCCTTCCCTCACCCCTTCCAGCTCTGAGGCACAAAAAAAAAAAGGATAAATGCTTCTGCTTATATGAAATATTTAGAACAGGCAAATTTATAGAGACAGAAAGTAAATTAGAGGTTACCAGGGGCTAGGGAAAGGGGAGAATAGTGAGTTATTGCTTAGGTGGGTACAACATTTCTGTTTGGAGGATTCCATCTGGAATTGTTAGAAAACAAACAGAAAATTTCCATCTGGAATGTAAACAATGTAGGAGGAGGGCAGTAATAAAGATAAGAACAGAAATGAGTGAAGTAGAATGTAAACATAAAGTAGAATCAGCAACGCCAAGAATTTTACCTTTAAAAAGGTAAAATTGATAACCCCTGGCAAGAATGATAAAATGCACAAATAGAATACACAAATACAATTTTAGGAATGGATAATGGGATATCACTGTAGATGGTACATATATTTACTAGCTCATAGGATATTGTGAACAGTTTTATGTAAATAAATTTGAAAATTTAGATAAATTACTAAATAGCACATTTTACCAAACTGACGCTAGTAGAAGTAGAAACCTGAATGTTCCTATAACTTTTAAAGATATTGCATCTATAATTAACCTTGTCCACAAAGAAACCTACATGGCTAGGTGGTTGATTAGTGAATTTTACCAAACATTCAAGGAAGAAGTAACACGAATTTTACATAGTTTTGCAGAGTGGCAAAAGAGGGAACTTTTCCCGATTTATTTTAATCAGATCAGTACCTGAATGGGACAAGAAAATTATAGACTAATCTTTCTCATGAATTTAGCTGCTGTAATCTGAAATATATTAGTCAATATCAAATCCAGTGGTATGTAAGAAAGATAATACATCTGACCAAATTTAATTTATTCCAAGGGTGCAAAGTTGGTTTAACATTAGAAAATCAATAAATATAATTCATCCTACTGACCGAATATAATAGAAAAACCATGTGAGCAGGAAAAGCCAGTTGATATAAATCAATATCAATCTATGATTAAAAAAAGATTATCAAACTAGGAATAAAAGGGAATTTATAGTAACATCATACTTAATGGCCAGTGTTAAACACTTTCTCTCTGACGTTAAGAAGAAGACCAGCTCCATGACATAGTGGTTAAGTTTGGTGCACTCTGCTTTGGCGGCCCGGGTTTCCACCCCAGGAGCAAACCTACACCACTTGTCAGCCATGCTGTGGCGGTGACCCACATATATAAAATGGAAGAAGATTGGCATGGATGTTAGCTCAGGGCTAATCTTCCTCAGCAAAAAAAAAAGAAAGAAAAACAGGGATGCCTGCTATAACAGCTTCTATTGGTCATTGTATTGGACACACTAACCAGTGCAATGAGGTGAGAAGAGTAAATGAAAGATGTTAGGATTGGCAGTAAAGAAATAAAGCTTTCATTATTCACAGATCATATGATTATGTATGTAGACAATCCAAAAGAATTTACATATAAATTATAAAAATAAGTTTAGCAGTGTTGTTGAATATGAAGTCAATATATAAACATTAATTGTATTTCTGTAAATCAACAATTAGAGAATGAAATTTTTTTAATGATTTGTATAAGAGCATAAAAAATATCTAATGAAAGAGGTATAAAACTTCAATAACAAAACAGAAACAAAAATAAACCATTATTGATAGACTTTTTAGAAACCTAAATAATTGGAAGGATCTACCAAGTTTGTTGACTTGAAGACTCAGTATTGCAAACCTGTCAATAACTCTCCAAATTGATTTATAAATTCAGTACAGTCCTAATCAGAATCCCAGCCAGTTTTGTTTCTTGTGAAGTTTGGCAAGCTGACTCAAAAATGTGTATGGAAATGTAAAGTACCAAGAATGGCTAGGACAGTCTTTAAGAAGACAAAAATTTGAGACGACTTCTCCAGGATATGAATATTTGTTATAAAGCCACAGTAATTAAGGTAGTGTGGTTTTAGCACAAGATAAACAAATGGATCAATGGAGTAGAAGAGAGCAGTTCTTCTCAACCAGAAATTTAAGCCGTAATGCTTTAAGGCATTCATTGTATGTAATGAATTAGTTTACCTCCTATAGGTCTAACATAATACCAGCTATATACCATCTTTGAGAAAATTAAAAATATAGTCACTTAATTTTCTACGAGGCTTAATTCTCTTATGGAATGCCGGTTGAGGAAGGATGGGATAGAAAATCTAAAAACAGGCTCATGGATATATGCACACTTTATGACAAAACTGGCACTGCTGAGCATCAGAAATGGGCTTTTTTTAAATGGTACCAGATCAATTAGATATGCATATGGAAGAGAATGAACTTGATTTCTACCTCACACCACACACAAAATCAATTCCTGAAGGACTGTAGTCTAAAAGTGAATGGTAAAACAACAAAACTTTGAGAGAGTAATGTAAGAAAAAATCTTTATGTGTGTGGGGGGGGCAACATGTCTTAAAACATGACACAAAAGTCATTGACAATGAAGAAAAAGATTGGTGAATTAGAATACATCACTTCATCTAAAGAAATCACTTTGAGAGTAACCACAGACTGGAAGGAGATAATTGCAATGCACGTAACCAACAAAAGACTTGTATCCAGAATATATAAAGAATATTTATGCAATAATAATAAGTAGATAGTCCAGTATAAAAATAGGCAAAAAAGTATATTGAACAAGAACTTCACAAAAGATGTATAAATGACTCAAACATATGAAAAAGTCTCAATTCTATTAGTAATAGGGAAATGTAAATTAAAACCCCAATGATATATTACAGAGATTATCTGAGGCCAGCCCCCATTTTTTAACAGATAAGTAAAAAGCCCAAGGAGTGAAGCAGACTTGCCCATGGTCACTCCCTCTTCAGCAGCATCGTCATGAAATAGTTACCATTTGTAGAATGTTTACTGTGTAACAGGTACTTTTCCAAGCTCTTTATACACGTTCGTTTGATTCCCACAACTCCCCCTTTCACAGGTAGCAAAACTGAGGTACAAAATTTAAGTAACTTGCTTAGGTTTAAACACCTCCACTATAGCTCTTTTCACTTGATAGTGTTAGTAGCTGGACAGAAATTTTAACCAAATTGGTAAAGCACCTTTTCTGAGCCAGGCACTGACAGAAAGATTTTTAGTGATGATTATTGAAAATAAAAGAGTTACTTTGTCTAAAAATGTGATTACAGTGTTCCCTTTCATATGCATTCTGATTTTTCTTTGGATGAAAGAGAAAAGGATATTTTTTTTTCAAAATATTTAAATAATAAATATCTTTTACACATTTCGAAAAAATTCTTTAAATTTCAGATATGTATTATTTTTAAAATAGAGAAATACAGTCTTCAAATTTAAATTTGTCTTTTTTTTTTTAAACAGTATTGAGCTCAGAGAATTGGAGAAGAAATTAAAAGCAGCTTACATGAATAAAGAAAGGGCAGCTCAGATTGCTGAAAAGGATGCCATTAAATACGAGCAAATGGTAATCATGTTGTGTTCATTATGTTTTTCTATTTTTAGCTTCATTTAGAAAATCAAAAATAGACCAATGTTTTGAAAATTGTTACATACTATAAAGAATTTACACTGCTAGATTTCTCAAATACTTTTATGCTTTTCAGATCCTTAAGGTATAGGAATCATGGCTTATTTAATATTTAGTCTTGTTTAATTTAATATTTGAGCCTTTCTGATACAAAGAATTAGGTTGCTGCTGAGAATGAACAGCTGTATTCAGTAACTCCCAGCATTCTTTATGGTCTCTAACTGATTATTCTTTGACAAACCAATTCAGTACAAATTGTTAGCATGATCAATATATTTTAGAATGTTATTAATTTTTTTATTTTTAGTTATTTAAAAACATAAACAATTTTTAATTTTAGGTGGGAAACTTTCCTGTTTTATAAACAGCAGTCTCTTCTTGTGATGTTTCCCTCTATTTTTATCGCTTTTTCTAACTTGTTACATACTGCCAAGGTTAGGGCAAGAGTTACTCTTGGGCAAAGGAGTTTCAGAGACACTCACCAGTAGTGTTATACAGTGTAATATAAAAGAGAGTTTATTGAGTTAACACTTAAAAGCAGGGTGCACATCATCACTTGAGCTCTCATTGTCACGCAGAAAGACTAGACATGGATGAACAGATCTGAGTGCAACCGTACACAGTCTTTTAAGTTCCGTCTCCCATTTCTCCGTTATTGCGTAGAGCATTTTGGTGGTAGAGTTCTCTGTCTCCTGGATCCCTTTCAAAGATAGTATACAGCCATGAAAGAGAAAGAGGTAGAGGTAAATGTTCTGGTCTTTAAAGTTGGCCAGGATATATTATAAGTTAGGAAAAAAGCAAGTTGAGAAAAATCAAGTTGGAGAATAATACATATCACAGACCATTTTTATTTTTTAAAACTTGTGCATATATGTCTGTATATCAACATATAACATATATGTTATATATAACAACTCACACACATATTAACACACACACAGTTAGAGGGGTGATATCAAAATACTCAACGAGTGCCGTGCAATGTTGGCATCAACTAGGAATAGATGCTGTCTACAGTGACACGTGTGTGTGTGTGCTTGTGTGTTAGAACAGAGACAGGCTAGAGGGCTATACCGCATGCTGTTAACTGTGACAGCCTTTGCTGTGGCAGGTGGTAGGAGAGGGTGAGGAGACTTCATTTCCTAAGCCGTATAGGTCTCTTCTACCTTTCAAAAATGAAGTAGAACATAAACAATGTACTATTTGACCAGTAGTTTGCAGTTTTAATTATCCTGATAATTGAGGTTATTCAAGGCAATTGAAGACATTTTAATCTGACTCCTGAAAGAATTGCTGCTATTTTCTAAATAAAATTGATCCACAAAAATTGAAGTCAAATACTCCTAGGACTTGACTAGGTGTCAGGATATCTAGGTGCTAGTTTCTCTCTGTCTCTCCAGCTTTAGTTTTCTTACCTGTGAAAGGAGAACACTGTACTTCTTTAAGTGTACGGTAATCTGTATATATGTGGTTTTCTCATTTCATATTTTTTCTAAAGAACCTAGCACAATATGTACTAAGAAAACAAAAGCAAAGAAAGAATTTTGGTCAAGTCATATTAACAGTTTGGTCAAGTATATGTTAAAGGCATCACCTTTAAGACCAGGGATGGCATTTAGCACTCCTATTTAATCTGCTGCTCCTTTTATGCTTGATGCTGCTAATTGTTCTAGCATTTGGGATGTGATTATAATGGTAAGGGGAAATTTTTTAAATTGCCCCAATATATTTATTTTACAACTCATTTTGTTAAATGATTTCAAAATGGTCAAAATAAATAAGGGGTTTAACCCATTCAAGAAGCAAGACTGTAACTCAGAAGGCATGGGCTTGAATGAGTGAATTAAAAGCTGTAGAAGACTTTGGCACAGTGACATATGTGACCCTTTTAAGTTACAGTGATTACAAAGGGCCTTTAGTAAATGAGGAACGGGAGACTTCAAAGGCCAGTGGCAGGAAGGAAAGTTTAGACTGGAAGAAACTTAAAGAGTTGCTCAGAGCTGTTTAACAGCAGACTGTGTGGAAAATATGCACCATCCTTACTCTAAGTAGCAGCTGATACACAATGGAGCTAAAAATTGTGAAAATTGCCTATGTCAACTTTTAAATAGAAGATGAAGATGACTACTGCTTTGGCAGTTAACGTCGTTAGGTTATTAATAAAGTACTTCTAACTTTACTCACTGTTTTTCAAATGTGGAGTTATTAATTATCCTTTCATGTATTGCCCTGGGAGAGCTATTTGAAGGCATAAAAAAGCCTCTTTAGGGTCTGGCTCATCATCCACACCCTTCAGTTGATAGCGACCTACCTTTTCTTTTTACCTAGAGAGATGAAAATATTTTATGTAACAGGCTTTATAATATTCAGTTGCATCTGTTTAAAATGTTCTATCATACTATGTTCAAATTTGAAAACGGAAAGATGAATTTTCTTTCAATAACAGAAACGTGATGCTGAAATAGCCAAAACCATGATGGAAGAACATGAGAGAGTAAAAAAGGAAGAGAATGCTGCAGAGGACAAACGAAATAAAGTAAAAGCACAGTACTATCTTGACTTAGAGAAACAGCTTGAAGAACAAGAAAAAAAGAAGCAGGAAGCTTATGAGCAGTTGCTAAAAGAGAAACTCATGGTTGATGAAATTGTTAGGAAAATCTATGAAGAAGATCAATTGTAAGTTTATCCCAACTTTCTTACGTGCCTAAACGTTTGCATTAGGTTGATCCCGGGCTTGTTGTGAAAAGCTAGAGCACCTAGATGGCGCCCCTCCTACAGAGTAAGTCCTCAGTAAGTGTTGTGGTCACATACGCTGAGACCAGATCTTACTGTCTCTGTTAGTGTGACAGTTAATTATCTGATAACTGATAAATGCTTATTAAATGACAATGACTAAACCTTTGTTTTTCTTAAATGTGCCCATAACACATGACAGAGGACTTGTTTTCCAACGAATTTCCTTGGTAGACAGCTGAAGTATAGAGTGCTGTGAGGCTTGTGTAAACAGGTTGTGGCCTTTCTGAAATGAGATGCATACAACTTCATTAATAGGTTAGAGAAGAGGCGTAGTGGTATTTTACTCAGAAAATTCATACCTGTCATATTTAGTCCCACGTAGTAGACACTCAGAGGTTTGTTACATGAATGAATGAACAAACTGTAAATAGGAAAGCCATTTTTATCCACATTATTAACTGAAGGAACTGACAGTTATATTTTTTGATATCATTTCTATTGCTATAAAGCTGCATGGGGGCCAGCCCCGGGGCCGAGTGGTTGAGTTCGTGCACTCCACTGTGGCAGCCCAGGGTTCAGATCCTGGGTGCAGACATGGCACCGCTCATTAGGCCATGTTGAGGCAGCGTCCCACATCCCACAACTAGAGGGACCCACAATAGAATATACAACTATGTACTGGGGGGATTTGGGGAGAAAAAAGCAGGAAAAAAAAACTGCACTTACTATTGCTTTTTAGAGAAAGACAACAAAAGTTAGAAAAAATGAATGCAACTCGAAGGTATATAGAAGAGTTTCAGAAAGAGCAGGCTCTCTGGAGAAAAAAGAAGCGTGAGGAGATGGAAGAAGAAAATAGAAAAATCACAGAGTTTGCCAACATGCAGCAACAAAGAGAAGAAGATCGGATGGCAAAAGTTCAAGAAAGTGAAGAAAAAAGGCTACAGCTTCAGAATATGGTATTAAATAATCAGTTTAACATTGGAGAAATTCTGAAATATTTTTTTCCTGAAATATTTATTACAGAATTTGATTCCTAAAAATGTTTGTGTGTTTTTTTAAAAACTTTAATAGCTGACTCAGAAACTGGAAGAAATGCTGAGGCAACGTGAAGATTTGGAACAAGTGCGACAAGAATTATACCAGGAAGAACAAGCTGAAATGCATAAGAGGAAACTAAAAGTAAGTTTTGGAAATTGACAGAATGATTAACATAGAGAATAATATCACTTTTAAGATGAAGCAGTAGAAAGATAATAGATTTAAACCCAACCATATTGATAATTACATTATATGTAAATGGTATAAACACTACAGTTAAAAGAGAAATTGTCAGGCTGTGTTAAAAAAGCTAGACCCGGGCAGCAGTTCACAAACTGCATAAAAAGCAGGATACAATTAAGTTTTCTTCAAGAAACACGATTTAAATATGAAGACACATACAGTTTAAAAGCAAAAGGATGGAGAAAGATATGTACCATACAAACACTAATCAAAAGCAAGTTGGAGTAGAAATCATGATGTTAATAGAGTAAATTCATGTGGAGGATTAATGGTCCTAAAGGTATATGAACCTAAAAAATCTTCAAAATACATGAAGCAAAACTGAAAGGAGAAATAGACAAACCCATAATTATAGTTGAAGATTTCATTGCTCTTTCTCATTAATATGTAGAATAGTCAGAAAACCACAGGATATGGCATTAAACAGCTATATCAACAAGTTTGAGCTCAAGTCAGGATGATTTGCTGGTTTTCTAATTGGGTTGCTTCTTCACTTATTGTAAAATTTTGAGAGTTCTTTATGTATTCTAGATACTTGTGCTTTGTCAGGTGTGTGGTTTACGAATATTTTCTCCTAGTCTGTAGCTTGTCTTTTCATCCTCTTAACAGGGTCTTTTTCCAAGCAAATGTTTTCAATTTCTATGCAGTCCAGTTTATCAATTTCTGTTTTTATGGATCATACTTTTGGTGTCACCTCTAGGAAGTCTTTGCCTAGATCGTGAAGAATTTCTCCTTTATTTTTCTAAAAGTTTTTCACTTTTAAATCTGTGATCCATTTTCAGTTAATTTTTTGTATAAGATATGAGACTTAGATCAAAGTTCAGTTTTTGCTTTTGGATGTCCAGTTGCTCCACACCATTTGTTGGAAAGGTTCTCTCTCCTACACTGAATTGCTTTTGCACCTGTGTTAAAACACAGTAGAGCGTATTTGTATGGGTCTGTTCCTGGGATCTCTATTTTGTCTGTTGATCTATCTGTCCATCCTTCCATCAGTACCACACAGTCTTGATTACTGTAGCTGTATAATAAGTCTTCAGAACTGTTTTAGCTATTCTAGTTCCTTTGCCTTTCCATATGAATTTTAGAATAATTTTGTCTCTAGAAGTAGTCTTTTGGGATTTTGATAGGAATTGCATTAAATCTGAATATCAATTTGGGGAGAGTTGACATGTTCACTATGTTGAGTCTTCCAGTCCATGAACATAGTATGACTCTCCATTTATTTAGATCATCTTTGAATTTTTCCATCACTGTTTTTTAGTTTTCAGCATGCAAATCTTGTATATGTTCTGTTAGATTTACATCTAAGTATTTCTCTCTTTTTTTGGCAATTGTAAATGGGATTTTAGTTTTAATTTCAGTGTCCATGTACTCATTGCTAGTGAATTGACTTTTTTATATTTATCTTGTATCTCATGACCTTGCTGAATTACTTAGTAGCTCTAAGAGTTGTTTTCTTTTTTGCTACGTAGTATATGGTATCTTCTGTATATAGGAACAGTTTTATTCCTTGCTCTTCTCTGTATACTTTTTATTTCCTTTTTTTGCGTTATTGCACTGGGTAAAACTTCTAGCGTTGGCTACCACTATCCCGAGTGAAAATGATGAGAGTGGACATCAACTTTCTTTGTTACATTCCTTAGGGGGAAAGCATTCTGTTAGTTGTAGGTTTTTTGTTCATGCTGTTTATTAAGTTGAGGGAGTTCTCTTCTATCCCTATTTTTCAGAAGGTTTTTATCATGAAGGGGTGTTAAATTTCCTCAAATGCTTTTGCTGTGTCTGTTGGTATGATCATGTGCTTTTTCTTCCTTAGCCTGGTGGATTACTTTGGTTGATTTTTTGAGTACCGTACTGAACCACCTTGCGTCACAAGAATAAACCCTACTTGGTCATGATTTCTTTTAATATATGGGGCTGGATTCTATTTTCTAGTATTGTGTTAAGGATTTTTGCATCCATATTTATGAGGAATATCAGTTTTTAGTTTCCTTTTTTAATGCTGGTGTCAGGGTAATACTATCTTCCTAAAATGAATGGGGAAGTGTTCCCTCCTCTTCTATTTTCTGGAAGAGATTGTGTAAAATTGGTGTTAATTCTTCTTTAAACGTTTGGTGGAATTTTCCAGTGAAGCCATCTGGGCTTAGAGTTTTATTTTTTGAGAGTTTTAAATTATTAATTCAATACCCTTAATAGTTATAGAGCTATTCAAATCATCTTATTTCATATTCAATGAGTTTTGGTGTCTTGTGTTTCCCAAGGAAGTGATCCATTTTGTCTAAGTGGTCAAACCTATGCATGTAGAATTGTTTATTCTCCTGTTATCCTTTTGATGTCTCTGGAATCTCTAGGGCTATCCCATGTTTCATTCCTAGTATTGGTAATTGGTTTCTTCATTTATTTGGTCCACTCTTGCTTTGGGTTTTTCAATTTTACTGATTTTTTTCAATTTCAGCTTTCTTGAAATATAAATGACATATAAAATTGTAAGATATTTAAAGTGTACATCCTGGTGATTTACTATATGTTTACCTTGTGAAAGAATTCCCCCGTCTGGTTAATTAACACATCTGTCACCTCACATATTTATCTTTTTTTTTTTCCTTTGGTGAGAACATTTAAGTTCTACTCTTAGCAAATTTCAATTATACAATTCAGTGTTATTGACTAGTCACCATGTTTTACATTAGATCCTCAGACCTTGTTCATCTTATAGCTGAAATTATTTTCCCTTTTACCAACCTCTCCCTGTTTCCTCCACACCTCCCTGCTCCCTACCCCAACGCCGTGCTCCCAGCTCAGCCTCTGGCAACCGCTTTTCTACTCTGTTTCTATGAGTTGACATTTTTTTTTTATATTCCACATATAAGTGTTACCATGTAATATTTGTCTTTCTCTGTCTGGCTTATTTCACTTAGCATCCATGTTGTTGCAGATGGCAGGATTTCCTTCTTTTTATGGCTGAATAATATCCATTTTATGTATATATCACATTTTCTTTATCCCTTGACAGACACTTAGGTTGTTTCCATGTCTTGGCTATTGTGAATAATGCTGCAGTGAACATGGGAGTGCAGATATCTCTTTGATATCCTGTTTTCATTTCCTTTGGATAGATACCCAGAAGTGAGACTGCCGAATCATATGGTAGTTCTATTTTTAATTTTTTGAGGAACCTCCGTACTGTTTTTCATAGTGGCTGCACCAATTTACCTTCCTACCGACAGTGCACAAGGGTCTTCTTTTTTCCACATCCTTACCAACACTTGTGATCTCTTGTCTTTTTTATTTATTTATTTTTTAGACCTGAATCTTTTTAAAAACATTATTTTAGTGAGGTCATATTGGTTTATAACATTGTGTAATTTGTAACAGATGTGAGGTGATATCTCATTGTGGTTTTGATTTGCATTTCCCTGATGATTAATGTCAAGCACATTTTCATGTACCTGCTGGCTAATTGTATAGCTTCTTTGGTAAAATGTCTATTCAGATCCTCTGCCCATTTTTTAAATCAGATTTCTTGTTCTTTTTTATTGAGTTGTATGAGTTTTTATATATTTTGGATATTAACCCCTTATCAGATATATGATTTGCAAATATTTTCTCCCATTCCGTAGATTGCCTTTTCATTTTGTTGATGGTTTCCTTTGCTGTGCAGAAGCTTGTTAATTTGATGTAGTCCTACCTGTTTGTTTTTGCTTTTGTTCCCTTTGCTTTTGGCATCTAATCCAAAAAATCATTACTGAGACTGGTTTTGAAGAGTTTACCCTGTATGTTTTCTTCTAGGAGTTTTGTAGTTTCAGTTTCACTGATTTCTTTTTAAAGAATCAGTCTTTTGTTTCATTGATATTGTCTATTGGTTTTCTGTGATCAATTCCATTGGTATCTGCTCTATTATTTCCTTCCTTCTGCTTGTTTTGAGTTTACTTCTCTTTTTATAGGTTTTGGGGTAGGCACTTAGATCATTGATTTGAGACATTTCCTAGGCATGCACTTAGTGCTATACATGCATTTTCCGAAACATATGCATTTAGTGCTGTAAATTTCCCTCAAAATTGTTTTAGTTGCATCTCACAAGTTTTGATATGTCTTATTTTCATTAACTCCATTGTACTTATTTTCCCTGAGACTTCCTCTTTGATCCATGAATTATTTAAAAGTGTGTTGCAGGTGTCCCCAGATGTCCAGAAATGTTCATTTTTTTTTATTATTTTTAGTTTGATTCCATTGTGGTCAGAGAATACATTCAGTATGATTTCATTTCCTTTAAATTTCTTCTGTGGGCACTTGAAAAGAAAAATGCTCTATAAATGTCCATTAGATCCTACTGGTTGATGATATTGTTGGGTTCTTCTAAATCCTTGCCGATTTTCTGTCTAATTGTTCTATCAGTTGTTGAGAGAAGGTTATTGAAGTCTGTAACTATAATTGTGGATGTGAATATTTCTCCTTTTACAAAGTGTTTTCTAATTGAGGTAAAATTTACATTGCATAAAATTAACTACTTTGTTTTAAAATATACAGTTCAGGAGCATTTAGTACATTCATAGTGTTGTGCAGCCATCATCTCTGTCTAGTTGCAAGACATTTTTGTTACCCCGAAAGGATACCTTGCACCACTTAAGCTGTCACTCTACATTCCGTATTTCCCTAGCTGCTGGCAACTACTAATTGGCTTTCTGTCTTTATGGATTTTGCTATTCTGGATATTTCATATAAATGGGGTCGTACAATATGTGACCTTTTGTGTTTGGCGTTTTTCCCTTAGGATAATGTTTTTGAGGATTATCTATTTTATAGCTTGTGTTAGTAATTCATTTCTTCTTTTGGCTGAATAACATTCCATTGTATGGCTATACCACATTTTGTTTATCCATTCAACAGTTTATGGATATTTGATTTGTTTCCACCTTTTGACTATTGTGACTGTTGCTGCTATGAACATTTGTTTTTGTTTGAATATCTTTTAAAAATTATTTTGGGTATATACCTAAGAGTGGAATTGCTGGGTCATATGGTAATTTTGTGTTTAACTTTTTGAGGAACTGCCCAACTGTTTTCCACAAAGGCTGCACCATTTTACATTCCTACTGTCAGTGTATGAAGGTTCCATTTTCTCTACATCCTTTCCAACACTTGTTATTTTCTGTCATATTATACACAAAAACGATCTCAAAATGAGTAAGATATAAACAAAAAGAAGCTGAAACTACAAAACTTCTGGAAGAAAACATAGGAGAAATTCTTTATAAACTTGAGAATGGCTAAAGGATAAAAATAAGATAAAAAAGTCATGAACTATAAAAGAAAAAGTGTATAAATTGGGTTTCATCAAAATTAATAATTTCCTGAGCCAGTCCTGATTGCCTAGTGGTTAAAGTTCCACACGCCCTGCATTGGTGGCCCAGGTTCCGTTCCCAGGTGTGGAACCATACCACTCATCTGTCAGGAGCCATGCTGTGGCAGCGGCTCACATAGAAGAACCAGAAGGACTTAGAACAAGAATATACAACTATGTAGTGGGGCAGGGGAAAAAAAGAGAGGAAGACTGGCAACAAATGTTAGCTCAGGCCAAATATTTCCTAGCCAAAAAAGAAAAGGGAGATTACTAAGTATTGGTATAAAAGGCATGTTAGCACCAAAGAAAGAAGTTAATAATTTCTTAACATTGTTAGGAAAATGAAAATGCAAGCCACAGTCTGGGAGAGGATATTCCCCATACATGTATGTTACAAAGAACTTTTATCCAGAATATATAAAGCATACTTATAACTTCATAATAGAATATAAAGAACTCAGCTTTTTTTTAAGGAGCAAAAAGTTTGAACAGATACTTCATAGAACAATATATATGAATAGCCAAGTACACAATAAATTGTAGCTATTGTTATTATATTTAATATTTTTCAGCTATCTCAAAGTAGAACATTATTTTAGATACACTGTTTCCTCAGCGAGGAGGAAATAGATACCAGGTATTGATGTCAAAATCTATTGATGTATATTCTTAATAATGAACTTCATTTAAGAATGTAAAATGTGTACAGTTCTTTTAAAAACATCTTAATGTAATTCACTTATATACATCTAAGATCAAATTACTCAGAAAAGTTAAGAATTAAATGGTGGATGAAGGCATCACAGACATATATGAACAAATGGGAAGCAGACAGGCAGAGTTATCACCAGATAAGTAAAACACCAAATGGATACCCGATATCACAGATAAAAGGTATAATCGATAATGAAGGTACAGCAGAATGAACATTTAATCTTCCATCTAATGTTGCCTTGAAGTACGTAACTTCTTTTTTTTTTTTAAGATTTTGTTTTTCCTTTTTCTCCCCAAAGTCCCCCAGTACATAGTTGTGCACCTTTAGTTGTGGCGCCGCCCCAGCATGGCCTGGTGAGCGGTGCCATGTCCGCGCCCAGGACTCGAACTGGTGAAACCCTGGGCCGCCACAGCATAGCGGGTGAACTTAACCAGTCGGCCACAGGGCTGGCCCCAGAAGTGCATAACTTTTTAAAGGCTGTGAGATCTCCAAAGAAAATTTACCAGAATAATGCAGGAGGAAAGGGTGTTTAACATCACTAGAAATTAATAACAGATACTTTAACCTACTAACTGAAAATCTAAAAACATTCTTTTCAATTATTATTGGTTGAAGAGGATATTTGGAGACAGTTTAAAGAATGAGATTACTGCATATCAGAATCTATCAGATTTTGTAAAACTGCTCTCTGGGGCAATTAATTATTAAATGAGAAATACTGGAAAAAATTACCTAGGCAATCAACTCAGTAACTTAGAAGAACAATACAAATTCAAGTATGCGGCAAGAATATGGAAGGAAATAATAAAGATACAAGTGGAAATAAACTAAAATCAGGAGAACACATTAGTATTAATCCAGTTGCTTAATGTTAATGAGAAAAAGCTTTTACTCTGGAAAAACATTGAAAAATAAAAAAAAATTGAAGGAATAAAAGGTCTGTAAAGAAAGGAGATTAGAAAAATAGTGAAAGATTATTCAATTGTATCCTAATAAAATGTAAAAATCTCAATGGCGCAATTTTCTGAGTTAAAAATATAGTGATTTAAAAACATGTAGAAAAATCAGACAAAATAAGATTATTAAGAATATTTGCTATATTAAAAGTGCCCTGCCTCACCTCCTCTCAGCCTCGCCTCTGGTTTCAGTGACAGCTGTGGAGACAGTTGTGAGGGCTTAGTCTGACTGTACTGACAGCTTCCTTAAGTGTGGGGGTGTGGGGGTGTGGGTGGGGTCAGGGAGTCAGTGTCCTCTGGGGCATCCCTCAGCAACAGTGGACAGAAATTAAGGGGTAAATGCTTCTTCCTTTCAGCCTTCAGGAAGGTCCTGAAAGGCACTCCATGCCTTCCTCACAAGGCCCTGGCAGGATTAAGCCTCAGTGCCCATGGTGGTAACCAGCTCAGTGGAGCACCCTTGTGTTGGCTTTTCTTGCTTCCCTGCTTCGCTCTGCTTGTCCTTGACTGCTGCTTCCTAAGATTACCTCCCTGGTAAAATCTCTATTACAAGTCCTTGTTTAAGGCTCTGCTTTCAGAGGAGAACCCAGACTAAGAAACCTCTAAAAGTTTGCAGGCTCAGAGTAGTTTTACAGCAAATTATTTCAAACCTTCAGTGAACAGCTATTTCTCAAACCACATAATGGGTTTTAGAACATAGAAAAGGATAGAAAACTATGCATTTCAGATTATATAACTATATAATCCTGATCCAGGCATGTCAAAGAGTACATGAACACTTTTAGTTGAAAAGAGATAGTTTTGTTTAATATATATTTATTTTGCCAAACTCTTCCCTGTTTTTAGCCAGCTGTCTTCACCATTGGATTAAACTAAAATTTGTGTGGGAGATGGGTGCCAGGAAATGTGAGCAGTTCATTTGTTTCATTCAGTATGTACTAAATTTCTGTGTGCAAAGCATTATAAGCTCTTGAGGAATTCAAAGCTAACTGACAGCATCTCTGCCTTCAGTGAGCCTTTTGACTTGTATATAATACATGGCAAATGAACACCAACTGCGTATTATAAAAACACTATGTGCCCAGCATCCCAAAGAAAAATAAGATATGCACTCTAGGAATTTATTTTTAGTGAGGAATAGGCATGTACATATGAAATAAAGTTAAATGATGGAAAAATTAAATGGGATAAGTGGCCAAAAAGAGAGGTAATTATCGGTTAGAGTGATTAGAGAAGACTAAGGAGGAGGTAGGATTGTGAAGCTATTAGATGGGGATAAGTGAAGAGACAGAGGTCGGATGTGGCGCACAAAGTTGCTCGCGCTGATACTGCAGATTGGCTCACTTAAAGCCCACTCCTACCCCCTTTTAAAAACATTTGTCTTCCATAAAGACTATAAAGTTTAAACTACATTTCTCTTCTCTGAGCTGGAATTCTTCATGTGACCTAGGTTATCTCCAACAGTTGTCTTCCCACCCCCCCCACCCCACCCCCCATCAAGGGGTGAAGATGGAAGTGAGCAGATGAGTTAACAGCCACGCCAGATCAGGTCATTGCGGGTAGCTTTGGTAGAGTCCCCATCACAGAATTTGAGCAGTTCCCTGGCCTTCCTGGAAGTTCTGTATGCTCCCTGATGGCCTCTGTTATAGTTTGTGTTATTGATAAGTAAGAACCCTGACCATAGAGCTGTTGTTGTTAAGGCAATATTTTGGATGCCTGAAAGATACTGGCTTACCTGGAGCTTGTGTTAGAATTGGGCAAGGTTGATTAGATTAGAGAAGGATTTAAAATTTACATCCGTCCTAACTGAGTAGACTAGATGATAAAACAAACATGGTAAAATGCTATTGGTAGAATCTAGGTGTTCAGAAATCACTGTGAAATTCTTTATATTTTCAGTTATGTTTGAAATTTTTCATAATAAGATTTTGGGAAAATTAAAGTTTGTAGTAAAGGACTTTGCTCCAAGTAAATTTGAATTTCCCTGAAAAACTTCTGATTATCATTGCTAGATTATTGTTCTGAAAAATGTTTGTCAATGATTTGAACAACAGTTTCAGGCAAGATTCTAGAATGACTCATGGTTGATACAAATTACGCAGACCACAGATTTAATAAACTCACATGTAGAAAAACATTTTATATCAGCTCTTTCAAAGTAGTTATGTGTTAATTCTGAGTACAGAAACAAGATGATAAATACCTACAAATTAAAATTGAAAATAAGTAACGGAGGCAATCCAAAAGTAACATGTACTTTATCCAACTAGTTTTAACAGGATGGGGCAACATGTTACCTTGAAAATGCTTAATTTTTTCACTTTCATTTCATATTGTAACATTAAGCTTAAGCAAACTATATCCTACCCTTTCTTTATAAATCTGCTGTAAAGAAACCGTAACTGAATTAACTTTCATATGTATTGTTCTTTAGGAAGAAGCAGAAGAGAAATTGAGAAAGCAAAAGGAGTTGAAGCAAAATTTTATAGAACAAATGGCCTTGAAGGAACTAGTACTACAGGCTGCAAAAGAGGAAGAGGAGATCTTCAGAAAAGCTATGCTAGCTAAACTTGCTGAGGATGATCGAATAGAATTAATGAACGCTCAGAAACAAAGAATGAAGCAGCTCGAACACAGGAGGGCTGTGGAAAGACTTATTGAGGAACGTCGCAACCAATTCCTTGCAGACAAAGTAAGAAGTGTTTTGGGGTTTTTTTGGTCATTATCATTGAACAGCAATCAGCTCATCTACTCATCCACAAAACATTTAACTCAGAAACTTTTATGTGCCAGATGATGTCAGATGTCTGTTTACTAATCATATGATCTATAAATTTTCTGACCAATCGTTAGTGTATCTAGAAAATATTTATTGATGTTTTCTGTGTGCTGGTTGGTGTTAAGAACATAAAGATAAATATGACTAAGTCCATGTCATCTATGAGTTTGTGGTCTTGGTTAAGAAAAAAAAATATAAAAACAGTGATTATATAATAAGATATGTCAAGTGCAAGTGATTATAATTATACAGGGATGGTGGATGTCTTGGTATAGCAGAGAGGAGACAGATCATGAATGCCTGGATGCTATTTTAAGGAAGGTAGACTTTATCCAACAGGACCCACTGAAGAATTAAGAAAGCTACATGATAAGATCTGCACTTGGAAAGATGACTCAAGTAGCAGTAGTGTGGATAGATGTGAGGGGAGTAAGACTGGAGAGAGGGAGACCTGCAAGGAAGTTATTACAGTAGTCCCAGTGATAGTTGGTGAAAGCCCATGCAAATGGAGAAGGGATCCATCTGAGAGATGGTAAGAAGACAGAACTGAGAGCCAGGCCTGATGGCCTAGTGTTAAAGGTTGGTGTGCTCTGCTTTGGTGGCCTGGGTTTGATTCCCAGGTGTGGAACCACACCCTTCACCTGTCACTAGCCAGGCTGTAGCAGCGCCTCACATAGAAGAACTAGAAGGACTTACAACTAGAATATACGACTATGGGCTGGGGCTTTGAGAGGGGGGAAAAAAAGAGGAAGATTGGCAACAGATGTTAGCTCAGGGCAAATCTTTCCCAGCCAAAAAAAAAAAAAAGAACTGATAAGACTTGGTGACCAGTTAGATCTAGAGAGGTGAGAGAAGAATTAAGGCTACTACTGATAAATAATACTGTTACCTCCATCTTGAGTAAGTGAGTGAGTGATGTCCTAAAGAAAGTGTATGCATATCATTCAGTAACTTTGAAGAGTTATTAGGTTATATGGAAGCTTGCCTCTCGTTGTACCAAAAAAGAGACATCCTGCTTTAGCATTAATACTACGTTAAAGTAATTCTTGGCAGGAATTCATCACTATTTCAGTGGTCTTCTCTTAGCAACCTTCCCTACCCAATAGGATTATTTGGATACAATTCCATAAGAGTTCTTTTAAGCCCGAAATTTTTTAAGCTAGTCATTTTTTCCACATTATATGGCACAGACTTGGTGTCATTATCTAAGAGTATTCAGAACTCTTTCCTGAGAAATACTAGTTCTGCTGGAACTCGTGCTGCTACTCTTGTGCTTAATACAGGCTTTTGAAAATTTAATACATATGGAAATACTTCTCTCTTAGATATGCCTATTCTGTTTTATCTACCTTTTTTTATCTTATACTATAAGCTGCCTTCAGCACCTGGCATATGGTAAGCATTCCATAAATATTTGTTGAATTAATTAGAAAATTACTTCTTTGAACATTTTTTCCTTGGTGATGAAGACATTGTCCTGAAAATGTGTACTGGCCTCCCTAAAAGCCCAGTCAATCATGACTACTGTTCTTGCAACTTTAAAGGCATAGTAACTATAAAAGATAAGATAGATATAATATACATAAAAGATATATACACTATCTAGCATCCTTTGAAGTTAGTGTCAAATAATCAATTTTATCTAATTCACTGCAAGAGTAGTTTTATTCAACAGCTTCTCATAAGATTAATGTATTTTGTGACAACTAATGAAATTTTATTTACATTTCCAGCAACAGGAACTGGAAGAATGGCAGTTGCAGCAAAGACGACAAGGATGTATTAATGCAATTATTGAAGAAGAAAGACTAAAACTTCTCAAAGAACATGCTTCAAAATTACTAGGATATCTCCCTAAAGTAAGTGAGATTTAACTTAAAGTGTAATCCTCATGACCTCTAACAGTGGGGGAAAAACATGGCATTAGGATTTCAGAAGGCCTGGGTTTCACTCACTCCTTGCTGTTACGAAGCAGCAGTGTGATTTTTGCCAGTCATTAAACATCTCCAAAACGAGAGTGTTGGTTTTGGCACATTCTTAGAAGTATGAGCTAAATTTATGGAATGTAAATCTTAGAGGTGGTTTTCTCTGCTCTCAGTGTAGGAGGTCTAAAACTAAACTACTTGAAACCAGTTGTGATATTTTGTACACCAAAGCTGATTCTATACAGCAAAATCTTGTAGTTGTTAACACCAATAACAGACACTTGCTTGAATTGAGTCTGAGACAGATCTGCTCTGTAATAGTAGGTTATAACTAGGTGGTACTAGGTAACCTGGGGTTTTGAAAGTACTTCCAGAAGACAGCAAATTTTCATGTGTATCTCAGATACATTGTAACAATAAATAAAATAACCAAGTTTCACAGGCCACATAAACATCTGGACTCATGTAAATAAAATTTCTATCCTTCAAATAAAGAAATTATGCCATTTGATGTTTTATTCAATTAGAAGAATTGAGTGCATATTTTATGTTTAGTCCAGTGCTAAGGAAGGAAGAAGAAAGAGAACTATATAAGTAATTATTGCCTGTCCACAGGACCTTATAGTCTAATTGGTTAGACAGGATTAATGAGTACAAAATTATGTGTTAATCACAAAAACCATATGGAATTGATAAATTTCATAAAATAGACTATAAATTCTGGGAGAGTCTTGGGGTTTAGATGTTTTTGTAGGGAAATAATTTTGGAGATAGGGAGAGCCTAATAAACCTAATATCCTAAAATGATTTTTATCCTTTAGGTCCTAATGGCCCCAAATGGCCTAAATTATTCTTTAGATCCTTTAGATTATAAGTAAATATTTAAGTTGAATTTTGTTTCAAAGAGCCTTTTACTGTATACTATGAAAAATAAGTAAATAAGAATGAAGAATTTCAAAGGGCTTGCTTAAATGACTTAACTCCAAACCTGAGTCTTCCATCTGCAAGACTAGAATGTCTGCTGATGAGCCGTAGAACTGAGGGAAGGGCCAATCCCATGAGGAGTCTGGCTGAGCTCAGTCTCTTTACCCTGACCTCCCTCATATTACATTGTAGGGCTGTTTCAAGACAAGGGTAGGGTGTGGGATAGATTAAATTCCTTCCCGTTCAGCCAGTCCAAGCAGTGGTGCTTGTAGTAGTAAAGTAGAAGAGCCCAGATTCCTATGATAAGTTCCAACAGTGGAGCTGATAAATCAGGAAATCGAGTCAGTCTAAAAGTATTCAGTATATATATCAAGTTATAATTTGCAGAAAATAATGTTTTTCTTCATAAATCTATTAAATAGAATTTATTGTCTTGGAGATAACTACGAATTTCATGTCTACATATTTGTGAGTCTTACAGCATTTAGTGAAATATTCTGGCATTCAAAGTAACCCACAAAATTTTTTTCTTGTAGGGAGTATTTAAAAAAGAGGATGATATTGATATGCTTGGTGAAGAGTTTAGGAAAGCATATCAGGAAAGGAGTGCAATTTGTGAAGAGAAGTGATATCACCAAGATTTGGTAAAAAACCTGGATTCTTTTGTATGTTACCACTAGATGTCAGCGTAACTTTTGTTTTACAGATCAGTGATAGTAAGAATCCATTGTCTATTTGGATTTTCTAAAACATCTGTATTTCATCATTTGTAAACAATTAATCTATAAGGAAACATTTGACAAAAACTAAACAAATTACTAAGCATTTTTTAACTGCAAAATTAATCGCTTTTAGTCAAACTGTTGTTTTTGTACTGATGATTTGAAGATCTGAGTTCTATACAACACTCCATATATAAAAACATATTATAGGCCAAAAGCAGAGGACTAACTTCTCTGTACCACTCCTGCTGTTCAGAGATTCTTCAGTATCCCCATTCAGGCTACAGTCTGTCTATGTTTAGGGAATTTACTTCCCTGATTTGGCTAGGGAAATAATAAGTATTTAGAATTAATTTGGGTTTGGAGCATCTTTTTCTGTCCATTATAAGGGAGGAGAAAAGCAAAGAGTGAGGAATTTTAAAGTGCTTTATTACCTAATGGGCTTAATTGTCAATTAGAAATTAAAAACAGCATTTCTCTCAGAAACTATCGTTTATTAACTAGAGTTAAATCTCCAGAACATATATTCTATTCAAGTACTGTTGAAAAGGGCTAGCAGATCATAAAGATAGCCGAGTCAAAAGTTATTTCATATTGCTTTATTTTACAAAATATTTCCTTTTCCCAATAACACTATCAATTTTGTATTCCCCAAATTTAAACAGGGAATTCTTTAGAAGTATTTTGATTTCATTATCAAATAATTCAAACTATTACAACTTAAATAAAACATATACCCATCACGCACAGTTGGCTATACAGACTAATTAGAGTAGATCACTTATGAATTTCCCCATTCAAGTGCCTTCATAAATTCCTCTTCAGTGAAAGACAGCATCTTGGCAGCTTCAATATGCATCTGGTTTTAAAAAAATCAATATTGTCTAATTTAATATTAAGACTAGACCACAGAACAACAGGAAATTTGAGAAGTATGTGTATATTAATATGCTATCAAATATTCCAATAAACATATTTGAAATTGTAATTACATTCAAGGGCCAGCCTATAAAAGCCTACTTGTCGAACAGTGGTATTGTACCAACCTACTCTTGAGAGAATAATACTAATACCTAACCTTTGCAAAAATGGAGAGTGGCAGAACCATGAATTAATATTACTAATACCTAACCTTTGCAAAAATGGAGAGTGGCAGAACCATGAATTCATATCTTCTCACCACCAGATAACTCATGTGTAGAGACTGGAACAATAGGGGTTTGGAAAATCAGTTTTCACTCTTAAGGTTTCAAGAAGCAAACCAATCACCTAAGATAATAGTTATTCTTGTATATGGTACTTTATTTAGTTAAGGAGTACCCATACTGTACTTACTAGTCCCATTTTTCACATTACTAGTTTACTTGCCTGAAAATATCCATTTGCTTGGATAACACATTAAATACATTTTGTATGCTTAATGCATTTTATGTTGATAAAATTTTCTGCCTAATCATGTCAAAATAAGAAACATACTAAAGTAGGAATATTAAATATTTTAGTAGAGAGCTCTAAATAATATCTATGATTTATTTTAACTTTGTTTTTTTAGGATAGACTCACCTTCTGCCTTTTTAAAACATCAATTAATTTTAATTGTTTCTTGAATCCTATCATTAATTCTCCTTTTTGTTTTTCTAGCTTCTTGTTTTCTGATTTTAATGCTTCAATTTTTTTTTGTTCTTCATTCACTACATCCTGCAAAAGGAAAAAAAAATCCCATATATTCTTTGCAGTTTTTTAATGGAAAAAATTATCATCGCATCAGTAATAAAAACTATTTTATAACAAATATAAAATTCTTTGTAGATAGTTTTCTTCACATTACCAAATTACTGTAACTTTGATCACTTTTAATGATACTCACATCTCTTGCATTTTAAAAAACATTTTTAAAATAACAACTCAGGTCTAATCCCAATAATAGCAAAGTTGCTTGTATTGGACTAGCTCTCCTGACAGTAACAAATATAAACTCTGGACACAATTTTAAAAATATACTTGAAGGCAATAGGTGAGTAATCAATAGTAAACAGAAACTGGATTTGATATGATCCTTGAAAAAGTGGAAGCTTACTGGTTGAGATCCACATTCAGCTGGATTCTGAGAGCACTTTCCAGTTCAGGGTTCACAGGGGATATACCTCAAGCAAAAAGTAGCAGTCTTATTGGGCTGAGGAATGAGACAGCAGGGCTGCCAGGGTGGTAGAATTTCCAGGTGGGAAATCCTAGAAATGAGTCCTCAAAATCTGCATACATATTTCCCTCAAATCCTTGGCAGACACCTAAATACATGTGCAAGGTGAGATGCCTAGGAACCCATGATAGGCAGCAGCTGTGGTGTAAAGAGCTGAGCAGAGAATTCAGTCACTGCCCATGACAAGGGAGAACAAGTTTGTAATCTCAGTAAAAATTAACTGGATGAGCTCTCCAGTAATGTGGACAATGCAGAAAAAGAATCATTGAACTTTAAGACAGATCACTAGAAGTTATTAAGTACAAAATATACATTAAGTATATTTTTCAAGTATACTTGAAAAAATGTTGAAGTCTTTCATGCAAAAGGAAAATGATACTAGAAGGAAATCTGAATCTACATACACGTAAAAAGGAAAGAAAAAAAAGCGTACCAGATAGTAACATGTGGTAAATATTAGTACACTTTTTCTTTTTAAAAAATCTAAAAGATAATTGAGAGTGACATCAGCAAGATGGCAGATTAGAAAGCTCCAGGCCCTTGTTCTGCCAAGGAACACCCATGGAAACACTGAATACACAATACACAGGCTAATGTAGCATTGTGAGAACTCTAGAAGCCAATTAAACAGCAGCAGCAACCAAGTAAACGCCAAACAAGAAAAAAACCACATTCAAAATGGTAGGAAATTTCATGGCATTTATGCGCAATCTTTCCCCTCACCCTTCCAGGCATAGTGGAAGGAAGCCTCTCAATTCCTGGCTTCTCCCTCAGGATGGAAAGAAAGTGAAATTTGCTTATGACATTCTGACTTGTCTGGGGGCTGCCTGAAGGACTAGTTTCTGTCTTGCCTGACTCAAGAGTACTGATGGAATGGTGGCATAGTTTGGATGTCAGGCTGGAGGCTGCTGAAAGCATTAGTGGGCACCACTGCACATGAGAATTGCAGAAGGTCTGCAGAACCACAGGCACCTAGGGGCAAGAGATTTTGGGCAGAGGAATAAAATACAACATCTAAAGCCCTGAGAAGAAGCAGGGCTGAAACGTTTAGGAAATTAAGACATTTAAATAAGAGACAAAAAAGCTTTAACATATATAGAAAAGAACAAAATGGAATAAGAAGTTCTTATCAGTAATAACTTGAAATGTTAATGGATTAAACTCTCCCATAGTTTGGAAGAATGGATTAGAAAAGCAGGATCCAACTATATGCTGTCTACAAGAGACTCACTTTAGATCTAAGGACATACATAGATTGAAAATCAAAGTTTGGAAAAAGATATTCCACCAAAAGAGAAAAGGGGTGGCTGTAATAAATACCAGACAAAATAGAAACAATTACAGGAGACAAAGAAAGGCATTATATAATGATAAAAGGGTCAATTCACCATGGAGCTATAACAATTATATATGCACCAAATATCAGAGCTCCTAAATATATGAAGCAAACATTGATAGAATTGGTGGGAGAAACAGACAGCTCTACAATAAGGAGACTTCAATACCCCACTTTTAATAATGGATAGAACAACCAGATAGAAGATCACTAAGGCAACAGTACTTGAACAACACTGGTTGAACAACAACTACAGACCAACTGGACCCAACATATACAAAACATTCCACCCAACAATAGCAGAATACACATTTTTCTCATGTGCACATGGAACATTCTCCAGAATAGATCGTATGTTAGACCACAAAACAAGTCTTAGTAGATTTTAAAAGACTGAAATGATACAAAATATCTTTCCTGTTCACAGTGGAATGAAACTAGAAATCAATAGCAGAAGGAAACCTGGAAAATCCACACATATGTGGGAATTAAACAGCATACTCTTAAATAACCAAAGAAGAAATCACAAGAGAAATTAGAAAGTAGAAATTTCAGATAATGAAAACAACATACCAAAACTTATGAGATGCAGTGAAAACAGTGCAAAGAGGGAAATTTACATCTGTAAATGCTTACATTAAGAAAGAAGGTCTCAAGTCAACAAGTTAACTTTATAGTTAAGAACTAAGCCCAAAGCTAGTTGAAGATAGAGAACAGAAAAACAGTAGAGAAAAATTAATGAGACCAAGAGTTGATTCTTTGAAAAGATCAACAAATTGACTAACCTTTACATAGACTAAGAAAAAAAGAAGACTCAAATAATATCAGAGATGAAAGAGGGGACATTACAACTGATTTTACAGAAATAAAATTATAAATGGAAGAGGAGACATTATAACTGATACCACAGAAATACAAAGGATCATAAGAGAATACTATGACAGTTGTATACAGCAAATTGGATACCCTCGATGAAATGGATAAATTCCTAGAAACTCACAAGCTATCAAAAGTGATGAAGAAACAGGAAATCTGAACAGAGCTGTAACTAGTAAGGACATTGAAGGAATAATCAAAAATCTCCCAACAAAGAAAAGCCAGTACCAGATGGCTTCACTGGTGAATTCTACCAAACATTTAAAGAAGAATTAACACCAATCATCCTCAAATTCTTCCAAAAAATTAAAGAGGACAGAACACTTCCAAACTCATTCTATGAGGCCAGCTAACGTTAACCAGATACCAAAGCCAGACAAAGACACTACAATAAAACTACAGACCAAAATCCCTGACAAATATTAATGCAAAAATCCTCAACAAAATAATAGCAAACTGAATTCCACAGCACATGAAAAGGATTATATGCAATGACCAAGTGGGATTTATTCCTGGAACGCAAAGATGGTTCAACATACAAAAATCAATCAGTCAATGTAACACTCCACATTAATGAAGGAAAAAACCACATGATCATCTCAATTAATACAGAAAAGGCATTTGACAAGATTGAACACACTTTCAAGATAAAAACACTCAACAAACAAGGGATAGAAGGATACTTTTCAACATAATAAAAGCCATATATGAAAAGCCCACAGCTAACATCATACTCCATAGTAAAAGTCTGAAAGCCTTCCCTCTATGATTAGGAACAAGACAAAGATGCCTGCTTTTGCCACTTTTATTCAACATAGCATTGGAAATTCTGGTCAAAGCAGCAAGGGAAGAAAAAGAAATAAAGGGCACCCAAATAAAAAAGAAGTAAGATTATTTCTGTTCACAGATCATGTGATCACATATGTAGAAAACCCTAAAGATTCCCAAAACAGAACTTACAAATTAATTTGGCAAAGTTGCAGGATACAGATTCAACACACAAAAATCAGATGTGTTTCTATATACTAACAATGAACATTCCTAAAAAGAAATTAAGAAAACAGTTCCATTTGTAATATCATAAAAAAGAATAAAATACTTAGTACTAAATGTAACCAAGGAGGTGAAAGACTTTTACATTGAAAACTTCAAAACATTACTGAAAGTATTTAAAGACAAATGGAAAGATAGTCTGAGGTCATGGATTGGAAGACTTATTATTAAGGTGTCAATACTACTCAAAGAGATCTACAGATTCAGTGCAATCCCTATCAAAATCCCCATGGTATTTTTTACAGAAATAGATCCATCTTAATATTCATATGAAATCTTAAGGGACCACAAATAGCCGAAAATGCATAACAAAGTTGAGGTCTCACACTTCCTGATTTCAAAACTTATTACAAAGCTATAGTAATCAAAACAATGTGGTACTGGCATAAGGAAAGGCATATAGACCAATGGACTAGAAAGAAAGAAATCCTTGCATATAAGGCCAAATGATTTTTGACAAGGATGCCAAGACCATTCACTGGAAAAAGACAGCCTCTTTAACAAATTGTGCTATGAAACTGGATATCTCCATGCAAAAGAATGAAGCTGTACCCCTATCTCATACCATGTACAAAAATTAACTCAAATTTGGTCAAAGACCTAAATGTATACCCTAAAACCTAGTACTAGAAGAAAACAGAGGGGAAATGGTTCATGACATTAGATTTGGTTGTGATTTCTTGGGTATGACACCAAAAACACAGGTGACAAAAGAAAAAATAGATAAATTGGACTACATCAAAGGACACAATCAACAGTGAAAAGGCAATCTTCAGAATGGGAGAAAATATTTGCAAATGATATCTGATGAGTTAATATCCAGAATATATTTAAAAAACTTGCAAATCAATAACCAAAACACAACCAATTAAAAAATGGGCAAAGGGTTGGATATACATTTCTCCAAAGAAGATACACAAATGGCTAATAAACACATGAAAATATAGTCAACATCACTAATCATTAGGGAAATGCAAATCAAAACCACAATGAGATATCATCTAATAAACATTAGGATAACTACTATCAAAAAAACTAACAAGTGTTAGCAAGGATATGGAGAAATTGGAACCCTTGTGCATTGTTAGTGGGGATGTAAAATGGTGCAACTGCAACCGAAAAACAGTATGGTGGTTCCTCAAAAAATTATAAAAGATTTATCATATGATCCAGCAATTCCACATCTGGGCATATACCCAAAATGATAACACAGGGTCTCAAAGAGATACTTGTACT